AAAAAAAACAGTTTACCCTTCGTTAAATGTACCCGAAGTTCCCTTTCCTACACCACACCTTTCCCTTGAGTTTGGAAAACTTTCCCTATCCGTGTCTTCCTCTTTCACCTGCTTTCTACTCTGAACATCTCTTTCCTCCTCACTGTCTAGAGGGTATTTTGCTCTTTCCTTATCTTTCTACCATTTTCTTTCTTGAACGTCTTTTTCTTTTGTACAATGTAGAAGGGAATTTTACCCTGTCCTTGTCATTAGCCTGTTTTTCTTCTTGAGCATCCTTTTCTTTCTTGCTATCTAGGCGTGTACGAGTGGGGAAAGCTTGCGACTATATAAGCTGCGAAAATTTCCCAACAGTCACTTCCAAATTTACCTCAGTGCTTCAGTGTCTGTGGCAGTTTTTTGCGTTAAAAAAAAAAAAAAAAGTAAAAATGGCCGTGATCGCCACCATTTTCATTTCGATGGTAAGTGGATTTTGTAGTGTTTTTTGTCCGCGGTTTTTTCGGTGTTTTGTTTTTATCGCGTTTTTTCGGTGTTTTTTTTTGTCGCGTTTTTTTCGGTGTTTTTTTTGTCGCGTTTTTTTTTGTCCGCGTTTTTTATTGTGGTTTTTCGGTGTTTTTTTTATTGTGTTGTTTTTCGTGTGTTTTTTTTTTATATTAATGGTTTTTTGTCTTTTTTTTTGTCGCGTTTTTTCTGTGTTTTTTTTCGTCGCGTTTTTTCTGACGTGTTTTTTTGTCGTGTTTTTTTTCGGTTTTTTTTTTGTCCCTGTTTTTTATTGTGGTTTTTCGATGTTTTTTTTTATTGCGTTGTTTTTCGTGTGTTTTTTTTTTATATTAATGGTTTTTTGTCTTTTTTTTTCTTTTCAGATGGTTGCCGTGAGGAAGCAGAGGGCCTGCCTGAGAGCTGCCAATCTCTGGTTTCGGTGGGAGTACCCCGAGACAGAGTCCTGGGATACCCAGGACATTTTCGGCATCCAGGAGCTCCATGCCCTGGCGGAGGAGTGGCTGGAGCAGGAGGAGCGCCAGGCTTTCCTGGTAAGTTGTTTTTTCACCTTCTCCCTCTCTCTTTCTCTCTCTCTCTCTCTGTTCTTTTTCTCTTAAACTCAATATTAATTCGATGTGTTTTTTTTTTGTTGCAGAGAGGAGACCGGCGGGAGGGCGGAAGCGGTCCCAGCACCCCCAGAGCCCGCTGGATTCGCGCCCTGAGGGACCGGGCCCGGAATTTTTCAGCCCAAGAGGAGGAGTGGGGGGTTGTTTACGACCTCGAGCACCTTTGGGATCTGAGGATCCTCTTCGGCGACGCCCCGCTCCGCCCCGACGAGCCCGAAAACTGGGACTTGGAGGAATGGGCCTAGGTCGTCCAAAAAAAATTATTAATATTAAAAAAAAAACATATTAAAAAAAAATGTATAAAAAAAATGTTTAACAAAAAAATGTATAAAAAAAAATGTAAAAAAAAAATACTAGGGTTAAGTTTTACATTATGTATTTTTAGAGATAGTTTAAAAAAAATTGAAAAAGAAATGTATTTTAGATTTAGTTTTATATTATGTATTTTTAGGAATAGTTTTCAAAAATTGAAAAAAAAAAATCTTTAAAAAATTTTTTAAAAAATGTATTCTAGGCTTAAGTTTTAAATGTATTTTTTAGACTTAAGTTTTTTTTAATAAAAAAAATTAAAATAAAAAACACTCCTCTTTTTCATCACCCTGTCGCTTAGTTTAGAAAAAAAAAAATTCAAACAAATTATTTTTGAAAAAAAAAAAGTTTGAAAAAAATTGTTTAAATAAAAAGTTTTAAAAAAAAATGGTTATTATAAAAAAAAGTTGAAAAAAAATCGACGTTTTTAGGTTTAATTTTTTAATTAAAAGAAATTGTTAAAAAAAAATGTATGGTTAGGCTTAGGCTTTTCAATAAAAAATTATTTAAAAAAAATCTCTCTCTCACTTCCTTGTTTACGCCAGCCCTCTAGTTTTAGAAAAGTGTTTTTAAAAAAAAGTGTATTTATAGGCTAAGGTTTAAATAAAAAAAAAAATTTATTAAAAAAATATACATCCATGTTTTGACATTGATTTTTAAATCTATTTTAAGAAAGTTTTCGGTGTTTTTTAAAACCGTACGGCAATGTTGTCGCTCCATTGTCGTGGCGTCATTTTGGGCCTGTCACCCGTATTATCTTACTTTCCGCTTTCGTGATGACGTCATGATACATTGTGCGCCGTATTCCTTTGTAGTTGATCTGGTAAGGTTCTGCTTTATCGACAACGAGGGCTCGAATCGAGTCATAATGTATCTGTTTACGCGTCTCATAGTTCAGAATAACCCCTTTTATCTTACTGACTTCGGCGATACTCCCATCATTTTTTACGCGATAAGTATAAAATTTAGGGCCTCCTGAGACAAAAGATGAAATGAAACTCCCTTCACCGTAGCCCTCGACTTCGTCGGTCAAATCCGCTAGAAAGTTCCCTAGCGGTAATTCATTTTTTCCATCGCTCACGTAAATTACTGAATCTGTGTCGTAATATAAGACACGCTCCTGCTGTTTTTCCAAATAAGAATATAATTTAAGGCGGGCGTGAGCTGTTGTATATGCTGCAATTACAACATTAGCCTTGGTAGACAGTTCCGCAGCTTCGTTTAAATGTTTCCAGGACATGAAGAGAGTGTCGTTATCAACGGGTACAAGACCTGTCCCCTCAATTTCAGGATTGAACATTATGTGGGCAAGTTCCTCATATGTTCGAATAATTGCCTTTTTGGTTAAATTTTCTCTCTCTCCAAATTTACCCCAGAGACAGTTAAGACAAAGCTTCGCCACAGCTCTCAACCCAGCATTCTGTTGAATTTTATCCTTGTCTAGTTTAATACCTTCCCTTGCCTCATATTCGGCTATTTACTCTTTGATTCATCGTCTACGCCCTCTGCAGGCCAATCGGAAGCCTCTTGTTTGATTTTCATCAAGGTGTTTATGTATCCCGCGAATAAACCACCTGTACGCGTAGCCGGACTATAACGTGTCGTTTTTTTATACTCCCAAATTTCGCTAATTTCCAAAATTTTATAACCCACTTCCACGGCTTTACGAAACTCTGGTGCTGTCCATGTGCCCAAAAACTCACGATCAATTGGATCGTCATGAGAGCAATTGGCTTGCAATAGATCTTTACAGCATGACCGACAGAGAGGGAACAATAGTTTCCCGTGGGCTTTGACAGGTAATACAGGGTAGAATAACCGACGAGGAGGTAAAACACGACATTTGACAAGTCCTTCAATCCGTGAAATGTCATTATTAGGACATGCGATACGACAATCGTTCCCTACGTGAACAGTGGGGTGTCCAATAGGAAAAACGCCCGTCTTTAAAACATACGGATATAATGAACAAACGTCAACATATCGAATTTTACACCACCCTCTTTAACATCGTAATGTGTTACGGTATTTCCGGTTCGGCCACCGAAAAACGCATCGCGGGGATCCAAGGCAAGGAATATTTGCTGATCAATTTTTTCAACAAACTGAGATAACTCGGGATCTGTCTGTTTTTGACGAATAAAATCGCATTCCCACATTTCGACAACTTCATACGACAAATTTTGCAATTCTCGAGTAATTGCTCCTGTCCTCTCATAACGACTCTCTAATGTATCCTTGTGGCTCAGCTCTTTATCTCTATTAAACTTGAAACATCTTGGACAACCGTGCCAAAAGCATCCATGAAATTGATATGCATATTTTTTATTATGCGCAACATCTTTCCAATAACCATCTAAACGATGTCCTTTTTCCGTTCTATACTCGCGAGATCTCCCTGCATATATAATTCGATGATTTTCGCAGTGTTCGAGCCATAAAAGCCATTCAATTGCTACTTTTGACTGTGTCTTTCCTAAACGATAACCTCCTTGTGCTATAATACCTATTTGCTATTCTTTCAAGAAATTTGATTGAAAAATGCGCATACAAGTTGAGGCAATCGTTACACATTCTGTAAAAGGACAAACATTTCCAGAATGCATTATTAATTTACGAAATTCCACACACGCCCTTCTCAAAATTGTAACATCAAGTCTGCAATAATGGAGAATTTCTTTTCTAAAATTAAACTCATAGTTTTCAGCGACCCGTTCATTATACCATACCAAGAATTTTTCTCGAGCTTGGACATTCATCGTACCAGCGCCATAATATTTCTCATCCGGCATAGACCCTACATAGTCCTGATTTTCTTTGTTATTGAAAAAATGTGGAAAATATCCTTTAGCTATGTCTCCTAGCCCAAAAGCCTTTGGCAAGCTGGCTAAAGCCATGTGGAAGTAATTTAAACTATCTATAAATTTGTTATCCCCGAAATCCATCAAAATAATATTCGTACCGTTAATAATTGCTTTAATTTCACTATTAATTCTACGAATGACATCTTTCAAAATAAAATGCGAGTCATACCCTTGCGCATTATGAGCAATACATACTACTTTTTTATATGTCTTACCCATCGATGTAATATAATCAACAAAACAGCGCACAGGATCCGCCTGATCAAATACATTTTGTCGAGATTTAAACACATCACACGGGCTTGCGAGATTTTTTTCCATTCCCACAATATCGTCATCGTTCATGTCAGCACACCTGTCGCACACAGTTTGGGCGATGCAAAGGGTTGGTATATGGATGTTGACGTCACCAGTTCCTTCCATAGTGTCATCTTATCTCGTCTCAAACTCATAAAAAACAAACGCCACGCGTTTCCTTGTTAATTTTTTCTTACTTTTCAAGACAGGCATGTAACAT